CATCATTCAATCCCCACTGCAGCAGAAATTTTGGAAATATTCATCAGATTCTGAAATTCTCAAATTTCAGGCCTTGTGTCCTTCCAGTTAGGTTAGCAATTATAACAAACATTGTCTCTACCGTTGGGTGTGATAAATGAGTGGCATACCCACAGTAGAATGGTAGATTCTCAGTGACTCTAATTGAAATATGATGAAATTAATAATTCAAATAGCAAACCTAATCATACTGTAAGCTTTGTGATATTCTTAAACTGGTAATAGGACTTTTGCTTAAATTTGTAATGAATTTTTGTTTTCAGGGTTTTGTTGGTGTTATTCTTTGGAGGTTGGGGTTGTATTTTTGTGGTGGGGATCCAATTCAAGGCCTTTGGCATGATAGGCAATTGGCTCTACCATACCACTGAGCTATAGCCCCAACTCAAATTATGTATTTGGATTCTCAATATTTAAATAAAAATGCTTGTGGCTTCAACTAATTTAGGAGTATGGCGACACTAAATGCATGTTATTGAGGTCAAGTTAGTGTATAATGACAGGGAGGAGCTTGGATTTCTGGACTCCGAAGAACCCAGATTCACACATCCCTTTCCCTGTTAATATCCAGAATCTAGCACACCTTCATTTCGCTTTGTCCTGAAAGTGTTGCTCTCAGAGGTAGTCTACTGTGCGTAACGTAAAATAGCTCAGGGCACTTAATTCATGAGCTGAATAAGAGAAAATGCCAGTTACTCTGTTTTGGATGCTCTCCAAAGTTGAAATTCCAGTTTTCACTGAAGGATATAAAGGACAGAATAGGAAGCTCAGGACTCAATGTCTTCCCCTCCATGGGCTGAGCCCAGATCTGCTGAATTCCACCTAGGAGCTATGGGCTGAGGACTTGGTCCCTCCACCCTCCACAGTCCTTCTGTATGAAATGAAGCAGCTAGGCATTAGAGTGATGAACATTCCTGCCAGTGCTGGCATGACTCTAAAAAAAGAAAGATTTTTCCAATAATAAAGAAATATCACATAAAGAGAGAGGGAAAATCCAATCACTAGCATGTTGCAGTTCACAGAAAAGGATAAATTGTTCCTTTGCAGATGTTATTCATTACCCTGTAGATAAATTCAGAAATGTAGTTTGTTCTGATTTAGTATTGTGGTTAATTGTTTTGAAGACTAATGCAGTGTAATCAGCCTTGTGTGCTGTGTTGTTTTGTTATATTTAAAGCCAGTACTATGCTGATGAAGTTTCTCTACAGAGAAGACTTCTAGTTTTGTAGCCTCAAGAATTAGAAACAAAAGAATGGCAGCACCAAGAGACCTAGTTGTAAGTGCCACTGTTTTTAATTTTTCACCTTGAATTTTGGACCAGCCGAATGCTAGCATTCAATATGAATATGTATTGTGTGCAATCTTTGGAACAAATGTAAAGGAGAATTCAGGGCATCCTCTTGTAAATGAAGATTCTACATCCAAGCCAAGAAATGAGTAGCTGAGTGTGTCATGGGAAATTACAGGTAGAGCTGGGATTCAAAGTCACTTCCACTTCTTGCTTCTTCCACCCTTCAAAATAAAACAAAAAGAACAAAGAAGTCTTAAACATTGAGCTGCAGTATGCACCACCTGCTCTGTTAAGTCTTTGATATCAATTTACTTCACTGACTGCAAGATTTCAGTATGTCTGGTAGCCTACTTTTGTCTAACTAGGTAAGAAACTAACTCCCCAAAGCCACAGACTTAGTGAAGATAGATGCTTGTCTATAGGCCTAAGTGTGTTGTGAGCCCACGCACCAAGTGAAGTGCATTATGTGTAGATCAAAAAATAATTTCAGATAATGCAATGAAAAGCATTCCTTAAATACTGAGCTAAGCACAGATAAAAAGTGTTTTAGGATTTCTTTTCATATATCACAGCATTTTGCAATGTTAACTAATAACACAGCTTGTGAAAATATCTCATTATACCACCAGAAAAGTCTCTGGAAACATAATTAAGAGCAGTTGCTTGCACTTGAGTAGATGCGTGTGCATTGCTCCCAGGTACACAAATCACAGTGCAGGTAAGAAATGCATCAGAAGAGACACATCTTGCCTCATTCTGGTCCTTTTCCTTCTGATGACTTCTCTTTGGGAAATGTTGACAACTATTCTACTTTGTTTCAAACCATGGTGAAGAAAAGAAACATAGGGACCCAGGAGTTAGGTTCACTTGCATATGAACCTGCCTGGCAAGCGCGAGGTTGTGTGTTCAGTCTCTGGTACTAAAACAGAAAGGAAGAAGAAAAAAGAAAAATTAATAAATAAGTTTGACTGCTCTATTCTTTAAAGGAGATAAGTCATGTAAAATTTGCATTCCTGGAGTCTGTGAGAGCATTGGTTTTAGTATTTTTTAATAATCTACTTTTAGCCTAGGAAAATTGAAGCTTGATGATATTTTCCTCTTCTGAAATGAGAAAAATAGTTTCAATAGGCTGTTCCCGTATTGCAAAACTAGATAAAAGTTTGGCAGAGAAAGAAACACATATGTATTTATATGTGATATACTAGCTCTATTGGTCTTAATCAGGGCGAACTTAATTTGGATTGCACACTCCTTTACGATTTGAGGAAATATGATTCCCATCTCAGTTTTACTTATGTATGAGTTGATTATTTTATATCATAATATGATGGATAATTGTAGATGTTAATTTGATTAGACTAGATGGTACTTGATAGCTGGTAAAACATTGCTTGTGGGTATAGCTTTGGAGAGATGAATGGAAGAAACTGAGATTTGAGTCAGTAGACTGAGTCAGAAAGATCAGCTTGTCTGTAGTCAGTGTGAGCAGTTAACATCCAGTCCACTGAAGGCCCAAACAAAGGAAAATGAGAGTGGAGGTGTGAATTTTGGTTTCTTTTTAGAGCTGTATCTATCTTCTTCTACCTTGAACATCAGAAAACATCTCAGCCTTTTGGACTCTTTCGTTTATACTCACAATTCACAACTCAGAGTTATAACATCAACCTCTTTCATCTTTAGTTTCTAGGCCCTCAGATGTGGACTGAGTCTGTATCTCTAGATTTCAGAATTGGAACTGTTCAGTCTCTTACAATCACATGTGCCAATCCTCATAATAATACAATCCCTCACTTTCTCCTCTTTTTCTGTTTAGAAGAGCTGGGACTGGAATATCCATAGAGCACACTGGGTAAAAATATATATCAAATGTTTTTGAAAATTAAAATAGATCACATGTGTAATTTTTATAGCATGATAAAAGTGCTCCAAAAGTACTCATTACCCTTCCTTCCTCTCACTTTTTCTTTTGAATCACAAATAGTTATAAAGATTAATATAATTCTTAAGTAGCTTTCTGATTCAACCAAAAGTTTCTTGAGCACAGCAAACGTATCTTTTCTAAAACAAGAATATCTCCATCCATTGCAAAAAATTTAGAAAATATTTCCCAACAGACAAACTCTTTTGGAATCCTATGTATTACAGGGATTTTAGCCCTGCTATGCTTAGCTGAATAGTGAAAATAACTCATAAATACTTAGTATGCTAAGCATGATGAGTACTGATTAAGTTAAAAATGATTTTAAACAGATTAGGTAATTTCCATTGAAAAAGCCAATCCAAAGTAAGAGTACCTTACTTCACACAAAGGTTATGTTTGTTTTGCTGTATAAAATGCATAAGGTTCAGCAAAGAACTAAGAAAGTAATATTTTCAGAATGACCTTGGTGATAGCATGTGAAAATTGTATAGGTTTGCTGTATAAAATAGAGAGCCTCTATATATGTGAGTGCATCAAAAGTTGCAATATAACAGGACACCATAGAATTTAAACTTAGTGGCTTAGAATAATAGAAGTTTGCTGTTGTTATTTCTCAAAAATATGAGTAAGCATAATTGTTCCTCAATAGTAACTCACTCATCAATTTTTGGTTAGTGTTAAGTCAAGTAGGTAACTTTTCTAATCTTAGGCTTTCTCAAGTGCCAGAAGCCTTAGGTGGGATGGCCATGTTGACTCAGCTCTGTTTCAAATGTTTCATGTCTCTCCGGGCTAACTTGTGCAAGTTCTATAGTGAAAGCACAGCCAAAACAGGCAGAAAATATTTGCATAAGGTCTATGAAAGCTCAGCTGGGAAGCCAAGGCAAAGTTGCTCCATCCTGGAAACACAGTTCATCTGCATGAGCAAGAGGTAGTTCTGTGTTGCTTTTGTTGTTATTATCATTACTGTTTTTATTATTAATTATTATTCTCTTTAATGCTTGTACATAGGTAGGATTAAAGACACTTATTTTACTGTTTAAATCATGTATTGATCATAATTCTTTTTCTCAAAATATAAACAAATGAAACAGAAAGTTGACTAAAAATGTCTTTATTAACTCAAACAATTGAAAATTTCTGGACTAAATATAGCACCAGTCCTGGACTAACCCATGTATCTAAAGGAATGATTGCATCTCTCTTTCTCAAATGTTTCCTGGGATTTCCATGAGGAAACTACATTACGCAGGGAAATTCTTTACAGTATGGAACCTGGCTGTTAGCTATTTCCATAGTTCTAAGATTTTTTTTCCTACCACAGCAGCAATAACAAAACAAAAACAAAAACAGAACAAAGAGGGAAGGGTGAAAGGGAGGCCAGAGAGAGACAGAATGTGCTTCTCCTTTCTGAAGCTTGGTGAAATCATGCTGAGAGCTCCCATTTTCCCGTTAGTTTACTATAGGAACATGTGAAAGCTTGGTGAATGCATTCAGCACTTGTGGCCTGAGACTGAAGGAGGTGTGATTTCCAAACAGAAATCAGAGTGTAATTACTAGACAGGAAACCGAAACTGGGCAGGCAAAAAATAGCAGATGTCCACCACAGATGATGTATTCTACATCTGCATTTCTGTAACATGCTATTATATCTCTTTTCATGCTGCTGTAATCATGGATTGTATTCTGACATACACTGTTTTATAATTTTCATAACTATAAGGAAATGAACTACTTTGTCCATTTGCTGTCTCCAGCACTGTGAATGACATATAAGCAGGAATTTGCTCTATTTTTAAATGAGATTTTATCATGAAAAATCTATATCTGATTTCTAATTAGGTTTTTAAAGTCAGAAGGGATTGTTTTAAATTCTTTCTCTCTTTTTCCATGATATTTATTGCTTTTTGATTCACATTATTATTCCTTGGTTATCTGTAGCCCTAGAGAGTTGGGTGAAATGGATTAAAGACAAGTCAAATTAACTGATTTTTTGATTAGGTAACTAGTTCTACATCTGGGTCTTGAACAGACAGGCTTAGAATGCTAGCTCCTCAGAGCAGTAGCAAATTAAAGAGAAAATTGTTAGCACCTGCAAAAAGTCTTATCTATGCATTCTACCTTATGCTGTGTATACACTAACTTTTCCTCCTCTATCTTCTGAATTTTCAAACAGATCCTGAGCTCATTTGTACAAAAGAAATCTAGGTGCTATCACATGTTGTGAGAAAAGAAACACATAGAGACTAGATTGACTGTTATAGAAGAAAACAAACCATAGAGGGAAAAGATATATAAATATTTTCAATTTTTCCAGAAAGTTTAAGATATGGTACGTGGCATAACTTTATGCCCTTCATCCAATTCAGTGCTCAGTCACTTTTTTTTTTTTTTTTTTGCTAATTCCTCCTTTGGAGTAGTTTTTGGCCATAATTACCATGCTGACAAGCTCTTTTACAGAAGACTTTACTAGTACTTAACCTTGCAAAATATAATCACATGTAAGAAGAAATTACAGAGCATTTTTATTTGTGTTTAACTTGACATTCAGATTGATTGTCATTATGTTATCAACAGATTTCTTTCTCTACACAGCATTGCACTTGGTTCCTGAGCTTTGCAACCAACTTTCCCTGTTAGCTAGGGCTGTGACCTTGGTAAAATTGTTTCCTCCTTAGTAGAACAGGTGCTATGTGTACCACCCCTACATAACCATGGACATTTTATGTATGCTTGGTTTTGCTGGGACATAGGATCTCATTAGGAGAAAAGCATACATGGAACTCTGTTTTACTGTGGAGCTGTCTTTTACTCTTTGCCTTTAACCTCTAGTAAATTTATAGTTAACTTAGTGTGTGGAACACAGTAGCACACTTGCACATGCTGTGTGCTACCTCCAATGAATGGGCCTCTCAGTTTTATGCATCCTTTCTTTGAGGTTTAGAGTATAAGGTGTAGCAACTTGCCTGTTACATTTGAAGTGGTAGCTCTATGTGCTCTTGAATATTGGGCTCTCGGAAATTTCATCAATAGCAGAGTCTTGAAATTACTTTTCTATTCCAGCGATTCTTATAAGTCTCAATAGGTATTATCTTGCTCAGCAGATCTAAGTGAGTTAGTATCATAGATGTAGAGGATTTGTATGATGGCGTTTAGAATGTCAGAATGATCAATAACTCTACTGACAAAATAGAAGAGGTGATCTAGTCCCTTTGTGACACTCTGAAAGTACTGTAGATATTTTGATCTGCCAGGAAATATCAAACTGTTTTTGCAAATTAAATGGGGGAGAAGAATCACTAGATCAGTCAAAAGTTGCATGTGAGTGAGAGGGACTGGGCTTACTTGCTCATTTGTTATACTACACATGTTTACACATGAAATATCAATTGCAATTGAATTCTAACCTATATACGATTCTGATAATTTACATTCTTTTTCAACACAGCCAACCGTTATAATGTCAGCTTAAATGAGTATGCCAAGCTTTTGCAAACTTGCATTTTTCAAGTATTTGATGGCAACACTAAACTTACAATTTTCCTAAGGATACAAAACAGCTCCAAGATTAATACATTACTAAAAAATGGAAGCTAAAAGATCTGCTCAGCTCTTTTAACCATAATGATCCTTCTGTATGGATGGAAAAGCCAAAATAGGAATTTTAACCTTAGGTGATCAAGAAGGTTTATTCTATTAATGTTGATATTATGACCATAAAAAAGAGATTGGCTTTACAAAATAATGAGAATCTTGTTATTTATACATTGTGTAAGTTTTTATCTGTCATTCTACTGCAGTGAGCTTCCATTCTGGTCACAAATCCGTGTGGGTCTCCAGGATTTAGGGTGAATTTGCATGCAATATTGATGATGTTCTTTCCTATGATGTAGTAACTCTAACAAATGACTTCAAATTTCCATGAAGAAGATTTTAAAGAAGATTTTATATTATAAACTATGAAAGTAGTATAAATATTTTCTTAGTATTAAGTTTAGAACTGATATAGATTATAAACTTACAAAAATCTATGATACTCCAATTTATGTCTGGATTGTGGCTGCTAGAGCTAGAATATTATAGACAAAACCTATAGGTTACCTATTTCCTTTATAGGAAAATACTGATCATTGACCACTGGAAAAGTACCTGATTCTGATTTCTAATGTGTTTCTGTTGGTTTCCAATAACTATACCTACTTTTTTGTTATTTTTTCTATCATTCATTTTCTAGGCCAACAACCCATCATTCCCATTGAAGTTAGTTAACTATGAAAATGGAGTAATTTCTGTTTGGATAACATGATCTAAAAGTCCATTTGATTGCTCTAATAGAATGCCTAAGCTTAGTCTGTTTATCTCTCAAGGCTCTGGAGAGCACAATTACAAGTTCAGGGTGTTTCTAGGTTTAGTGTCTGACAGGTGCCCCTATCTCTGATTCCAAGATAGGTCCTTGTAACTGCTTGCCCCAGAGGAGGGTGACACTGTATCTTTTCACGGTAGACAGACAGCACTTACAACTAAGGGAATTCTGAGAAAAATGAGTGAGATGAGTGGGATATGAAAATTTTGGAAGATTAACTCGATAGTACTTGGAAAATGATTTTACAAGTAGAAAGTAAAGGAGACCCAAAACCAAACATGAGCATTACTGAAAGACAGGCGACTTGACTACTTGGACATGGAAAAATTGAGTTAGAAAAAGGTTTGATGGAATATCTGAGTAGGTGCTCAAAGACAGAGGGGGAATATTGCTAGGGGTATGGGGTAAATGGTATTGAGGGATTGAATCAGCTCTAAACACATTCAAAAGATAATCATGTCTCACCTGTACTTATTTTCACTTGAAGTGGAAATGGTGTTCCAGGTTAGTTTATGTTATTACTTTTAATACTTATAGTATTATACTCAATACTGAGGTGCCCAAATGCACTTCCAAGCATTCATGTATGTTACAGAACAATCCTTTCAGTATAACTCTCTCAGTCCCATCTTCTTCACAGAATAAAATATGTGCATGTGCAGAAAACATTACATTGTGATCTTCCCATCAGTGCCAAGTTAGTCAGTGCAGCTCCTATGCTAAAGAGGCATCACATACACCAGAGCAAGTCATGGTTCAGAGACAATTAATCAAATCTAATTAGGTGGCTCACTAATTGATCCCAGGAGCTATTACTATTTGACCTCTGGTGAAAGAGCTCAATACGTTCAAACTCCTCTGGAGAGAAATGAATAAAAATGCCATTGGTTGAAACCACATAATTCAATTAACCTATTGAATGAATTCAAGGGATAGTTAAGCCTTCCAAGAATACACTGAGTTTTAGGATTAAGCTGAATTGAAATTTATCCATTCTTTGCCTTTTGGTAAATATTGATCTGATTTCAAAATCTTATGTGCGAACTTCAAAAAAAATAACACAAGTGGTCTCTATATCTCATTAGGATATTATTTTTTATTATATTGTCCTTTAATTTTCCTTCCTTGTTAATTTTTAAAAATCTGTGAATTCATACTTTTCATAATAGGAATGATCTGACTTAATCTGTCATTATAAGGAGGAATGAGAATCTATGTAATGAAACTTTACCAAACAAACAACAAATCACAAAAATAAATCAAAGTGGATTAATGATTTTAATGTATAAACACCCATCTGTCAATGAGAAGGATGAGGCAAGAGGAGGAGTTGCACATAGTACATGAGGGGGCTGAAGACTGCAAATTCATAGCCCAGGTTCTCTGTCCTGTATTCGCTGAGGAACAGATAATTTTTAGTACATCGTACTGTTATATTTAATATGGTGACTACTCAGGATCATAAATAGTTAATGTGATGCTGATATTCTACAACATTTTAAATAAAGGAATAATGAAAACTGGAATGAAAGGTAAAAGTTATGATTAGCACCAGAAATAAATGGACATAGTCAATGGAATAGGTGGGATATATTTTTGGAAATTCTCATAAAAAATGCACACTAAAGCATCAATGAGACCACTATAATGAGAAAAACAACTGATTGACATTTGGCTTTTGCTGCACTAACAAATTGTCTTCTACAAAGACCTATCACCTTCACATTGTACCAATTACATAGCCAAATTCTTATTTCCCATACAAAGTTTGTGTGTACACGTAGGGATATTTAAAGTTGACCATCCTAAGGTGTAAAAAGTAGTTTATAAATAGTTCTTATAGTATGATACTGCATTTGTGAATTACTCCAAATCACATTTTTTTGTTAAAGAACTTCAAAATACTGTTTCTTCTTGAATAACTGGATTCTAGGTATTTTCAAATATTTTCTGTTTAATTATCTTGATTTGATAAATTTCATCAAATGCACATAGTTTTGAATTAAGAAAAGTTACATTTTTGTAAGAGACTTAGGAAAACATGCAGATAATATTAACTGCATTATGAATGACTCATTAGAAGAACAGATTTCATATAAAAACTTATGTGGGATATAAAGATTTTATTAAGCAAGTTTACAACGGACACCTGCAGAGACATAATCTCCAGTTATTTATATAGGAGCTGATCAACAGTAACTGATGTGACACTATGAAAGATTGGTGACATGAAAAGAAGCAAGATGAACACTCTGCTTATTAAAGGGATATTCTCTTTCAAGTACACAAAAAGAACAAAGGCACTCTTAGAGAAATTCAAGAGATAGCTTGAGAAAAGTACATTATTTACACTTGAGCTCACAGCACTGGGAATGGGGCTGGTAGGCTAAAAAGAGAGGCTTGGGAACCGAACAGAACATGTGCTCACATCCTGGCTGTAAGGCTGTGGTCTCCCTCCAGGTCAAGCCATTCTTCATCTGCAGAGCCCATAGCTGACCTGTCAGGAGGGCCACATTTACAGCCTAGATGCAAACAGTTTTGAATGTACATTTTCAGTGCTGACTCCCACAGGAGCCAGGGTGAAGAATGCAAACAGGCTATCAGTGCACTGGACAGAAAGGTCCAATGCCTGAGTTCATAGCAGAATGTGGTGGGGCCTGCACTGAATAGCTGAAGAGTCTGTGCTGGAAGCTGGAATGAACAGGAGATGCAGTCCAAAGATACTGACCTGGACAGGAGCGCCTCCAAAAAAGCAAACAGAGAGAATTCCTTCTTTCCCTTTTTTGCTACAAACAGGCACTAGCCTATTGGCTGATGTCACGCACATCCAATGCGGGTCTTCTCTCTTTGGTTTCATACATATCAGTCATCCAGACACACCTAGAATCATGTTTTACTAATCTGCTTGGTGTTTCTTAATCCGAGTTGCCACCACAGTTAATAACACAGTAACACTGATAAACATCCCTGGAACTTTATCCACTCTCTTTTCATCATGGCTTGTTGCTGTCTCTCATGTTCTTTCATTTTCCATTTTCCTTTTGATCCTACCAACTTTATTCTGGGACATCAGTTAACTTCTCACATACTTCTAGATCTTCCAAATCATATTTTCCAAATCAACATCATGGCAAATCCTGACTATTCCTGCTGTATTCAATTTCTCAAGGGTGACCACTTAAAGGTGAGTTTCTGTTTCTGTCAATCAGTGGAACCTCATCCCAAGAAAAAAAGAAAAGTGTAGAAACTGAACAACATGGAGAAAAGTTACTTAATTGACTTTCTCACTCTAGAGAGAGATATTCCACCCTGATTCTTAGATTGTAACTTATGTTAAAGGGTGAAATGTACCTGTGAAAGACTTGGATTCAATATAAACATTTTCTTTCACGAATCAATTTGATTGAAATGAAATAAATAGCCTATAGATGTTTAAATTTAATACATAGCAAAATATGAACACAGTGATTAGCACACATTTGAATTGTAATCTTATATTTGCTCCTGATAGTCAAGCAGGAAGGTATATACTTCCTTCAGGCTCCTTTCGAGACAGAGAAGCACAAAACTGAGAGACCACTCATTTAAGGTGCCCAAGACAGAAGCTAAATCAGAGTCCCCCGGTTGGCTTGATGCCACTTATTTCCTTTGCTCCACAAATCTTTCCATAAGAGAATTAGCACAATGAATATGAGGGATACATGGCAAGAAGAGCACCACAAACTGTGACAAAATAAAAATAAGGAAAAAACACAAGAAATTCAGATTTGTAGCAAAAGCAATGAAAATGGAATATGTAAGGGAAGACTTCTCAGAGAACATGAAGTTCCATCTGGTCTCTCTCCATTCATTTTCTAGATTTGCCAAAAGAAAATCTCACAGCCTGGATGATTTTCACAACACCAATTCATTTCTAACAATTTCAGGGTTAAAAGTCTTAAATCAAGTAGCAGTAAAATTGTTTCCCCCAATTCCTCCCTGTGTTTTTTTGTGGCTCTCCCTATGTTCCAAGTCCTTCTATTTTTGGACTTCAGCTGTATTGGGTTAAAACTAACATTAATTATCTATTTGCCAGATTATTTTTTAAGATCTTCTGTCCAAATACATTTTGAGATTAGTTAACATTAATATTTCAATTCAGTGCTTTTAGTAGAAACATTATTTTTTTCCTAAAGAATTTTCTAAAACTTCAAACACATGACTATGAGTACTCAGTTGCTTTGAATTTTTTCAGTCCATTATATATTAGTATTATTTATTTTCAATCATTTTCATCAGAATTAAAATTTCTTAATAGTAAGTTAATTTTATTACCACTAATAGTTTATACACAGTATACTGTACAACATACAGTTGTGTTCTAAAATAATATATTTTTAAAATAATATTTACAGTGAAACAATTGAAAGCATGTTGAAAGATTATCAAGGAGAACATGAACCCCTTTTGAGTCCATTTGATCCTGGGGATACCAGTCTTAGAAAGCTTAAACTGGACTTCAAAATAAAGATGGTCATTAATAGGAAATGAAAATTGAGGAGGTGGATCTTATGTGCTGTGTGTACTTCAAAGATAATGATTCAGTTCATTTTGTTTACAAATAAATACTGTGAATATAGAATACAATGTAAAATGACATTTTTCTATCATTAAATGGATAAGAAGATTACTGAACTACCAAACGAGGCAAAGAAAGAAAGAAAAAGAGAGAGAGAGAGAAATGACTGAGAGGCTAAGGATAGGAATTCTTTAGAAAATCAGCACAAAATTCCTTTCTCTTCTCTTTCTCAGGATCTGTACTCAACGATCTGCACTCATTTCTATTAGGAATGAATTCCCACAAGTAAATCTGCTACAACCAAACTCTGAGAGCCCCTGAGAATCTTAGATCCTTGCAAGGATTTAGAAGGTAGTTGGCTTAATTATGTTAAATCTTGGCTTTACCATCCAATTTATTTTGCTCCTGTAGACCTGAACTCAACTTCAGTTTCCTGAAAAGAGCAACTTGGAGGGGTTCCAAGGCAATCTCCACCGTGATGAGTGAGGATTATTAATCTATCTTTGGAACTGGCATCTCTCAGACACTGTAGCTCACATTAATGGGCCATATCCGACTGCTTGCTCTGCTGATAGGAATGCGATGTACTCAATCGGGTTTATTATGTAAGCGTTAAAATGCACTCTATTGCTTAATCACAATGACACTTTCATCTGTTTTGCAGTTTTGAGTTGATTTGTAGAATTTAATCATCTATATTTTGAAGTTTACCCTCTAGATCACACTCTGGGATGCCCGGAGCTGGAACCAGCAGCACATTGCTTTGGCATAGTTTTTGTTTTAAAATTTCTTTTAGAACCATGTACTTTATCTCATCAGCATACTCTAGGCGATTGGAAAGTATGTTGAAATAGACAGGCTATTATATCTTTCATCTAAGTTTCAAAATGATTTAATAAAAGAAAGGGAAGTTTTAATTTTTCCATTTAATCAATGTGAAAACTGAGGTTCAGAAAGGGTTACTGATTGGATCAAGTGTATTAAACCAATTGCTCCTTTCTTTTCTGCTTTATTCGCTTGAGGCTCAGCCATTATATTAAATGATGTCCCATTGAAAGCTCCCCTATTCCTTGAAAGCTTGGGCATTTTATGCTACTTTTGTTTAGTCAATGTTTATATTATGATTGTTATATTAATACAATTATATAATAAGTGTACAGTCAGCTGGAAGACTTCTTTGTAAACATTCATTCTTTTCTCCTTTCCAGTAAGATATGAAAACCTTTGAACATTCCAGAAACTCTGTAATAGTTAGACTCTCTCCCTTCAATCTCAATTGCCACATAAATTTAGAAGTTTAGCAGAATTCAAAGTCTTTTTTTTTTAACATTTAATTTAATTCTCACAATTTTTTGTTTTGTTTTGATTTACAGTATGGATAAAACTCTTCCTTTAGGTTGAGTTGAAAACTCCAAGACTCAATGAATAAAAGTGTTTTTAATAGAGAAAACTAATTAATTCAGTAGGGATAACTCTTTTTTGGACTTAAAATTCAGAACTATTACTTTAATCCCTGCCCGTAGAACCTCCAATCTAAGTTTGGCAAAGGATTCTGTAAAGGAACAGGAAGTCAGTGCAGTTTCTGCTACAATCATTCTGCCTTGATGGCACAAAGAAAGTCTTAGTCTGCACCAAAATTAGTGGAGATAGCAGTGTGAAACAAAGCAGGCAGTGTTACTGTCTGGCTGTGTTTTGTGACCCACAGGTTCTTGTGTGAGAAGCTTACTCTTCTGCGTGGTGCTATCGAGAGGTGCTGGACCTTTAAAAGGTGGGCCAGGAGGGATCAGGGCTGTACTGCACTTGAAAGTCCCTAATACTGGTCTTACAGAGTGACATCTCAAGAGTGAGAGTTGGAGTAAAAAGCAAGGCAACTTTGCCCCAACTCTGACCTTCTGCATCACCACATGGTTCATCTTACACATATTCTCATCATGATTTCATATGCCATAAGGTCTTCACCAGTGACCATAAAAATGGACCCACCAGATCTTGGACCTATGACCTACAAAACTGAGCTAAATAAACTTCTTTGTGTATCTTTGTCTACGGAATTAGGTTACATCAATTAGAAAAATGACATTTTAGCTTTACTTACATTTTTAACCTTATACAAATTTATCACATAATGCAAATACAATTATGTTTAAAACATAAAACCTCCTTATGCTCACATGTTATACAAAAACAGATGGCAAGGCTAGATTTGCCCACAGACTACAGTGTGTTGGCCACTAGCATCAGTATGACTTAGAATAAATAATATTAAACAAGAAATCCCTGATCTCTTGGAACTTATATTTTATTTAGGGTAGGTGCAGAAGAAACAAAATAAGATAAATACAAAGAAAAACTTCATAAAAATAAAAAGTGGATAAACCCAAGCAGAGAATGCTGAGCATGTAGGCTCCAGTGGTAATGTATTTGCACATGACTATGTAGACACTGTCTTTCCCAGTAGGAGAGCAAGCAGGGTGGCTGAGAGTACTGGGGGGTTTCACAGAAGTGGTAAGTAAACTAGGATTGCAAAATTTCTCCATACTCTTGTTTGTAGAATTTCAGTTCAAGAAGCTAGGTTCCATATTTAGGTCAACCCACAACTTTTTAAGATAACACAATAGAAGTTAAAAATTCAGAACTTAATGAATCCAAGAATAAACAATCATCTGGGCCACACCAAACCAAAGATTAGAAGCTGGATGGATAATGGAGATTTCCATGTTACGGCAAAGGAAATGAATTAATTTCATAAGAATCTGAAAGGAATCCACAACTAATAGCTGAGTCATGTAGAATATTCTTATATATTGGGATTTTATTCATATACTTTCATTTCAGCCTTTTCAAATTAGATGAAATACCTGGGACAAAAATGTCCTTTATTCATTAGACAACTCCTTTGCCATTATTCTGGGTCTCAAATATTTCCATTGGACTATAAACTATATGAAGAAGACATTTTTGCTGTTTTGTTTGTTGGCTGTTTCATTCACATCTGGATCCCTAGTGGTACAATGAGTGTCTAACACACAAAAAAAATAAATGCTTAATAAATCTTCTTGAATTAATAAGAGAAAAAAATGAATGGTAAACAAAAGAAAAAATAGAAAAACTGGGGACCCAGACAAAAAACTTCTGAAATGTTGACTTTCGAGTTACAGTAAGTAAAATTTTTATGCTTGGGAAAAGATTAATGAACAAGCAACAAAACATATTTTCCATGAGATTTTCTCATACTCAAGATCAGTTTTTGAGATTTCTTAAAAGGATGATATCCTGTAGTGAAGTTATATCTCTGATTGTACATTAGAGTACATCCCACCACTGAGCTTGGATTCCTTTAGGTATCCAAGGATTAAATACAGAGCCTGTCATAGGTTATCAGTAAACACAGATTGGCTAACATTTAGTTAGGGCATTCTCATATTCTAAACCATACCATCTAGTTGACCATAAAAATCTAGGTAGGGGCACATATTAGAGAACATTCAATTTTAAAAATCTTAATTAATGGCATTATGAATATCGCTATCAACAAGTTTCAAGTTTTGTAGAAGTAAACATTTAAAAGCACTGCTAAAATATTTCTTACGGACATAAAGTACATGTATGTGTTTACATATATTTATATTTTGCCAACAAATATTTAATTATCACACCTAAGAAGAACATTATGAACTAGGCTTCACAGTACAATGCAGGTAAACATTGAGTCTCTGCATTAAAGTATCTCAGCTCAAGGACAGAGATGAAATTATAAAATTAATCATAGAAATAGGTATCTTTGAGTTAGGAAAGAAAAAATACAAGTAGAAAGGAGAAAAGAAAAATTGTAATTTAAAATTGTACTTCTAAGAGAATTTGTAGCCTCAGGACACAAAAGTACTTTTACCTTTACAAAAGCTTCCCTCCAAATAATTCTTAAAGGTCCTACAGACACAATAAAGCTATAAATTGGGCTCTAAGCCTGTGATATAAACTATCCTTTCTCCTACAGACTTCTATCTTCAAGGAAGCAGCAATATTAATGAACAACATATTTCACCTTCAAACACATGAAAACAATTTGTATTTTAATATATACCTCCAATAGTTAACCAGACAGAGAACAGAAATACATATCCCAGATCACTTATCTTGATGACATTACAAGATTGCATTAATATACCCAGCTCCAGAGCATCAGGCACCACTCTTGAGGGCCTGTACTTAATTCCCTGTAAATGTGTGCATTTTAAATTCTACCTAAGGGGTTTTTATCCCTCTCAATGAAAAGTCTCCCTGAAGGAAGTCAGTGAATCCAAAACCCATGCCATGTGTGCTGTGAGTGGAGGTCTCCCTGTCTTCTGTAGAAATCCTCAATTGCTTTCCATGACATCAAAGCACAGATGTTGATAAATATTGTGAAGAAAAGACATAGATAAGAAAGCATAGTGTAGAAAAGCAAAAAATTCCAAGGAAGACTATTGATCAGTAATTCTTTAAGTTAAAAATTAAAGAAAGATCATTGAGAATTTTTTGGTTACTTATTTTATTTGTTTAGTTAATCATTTTCTTGTTACTGGGGATCAAACTCATGACCTTGTGCTTGCCAGGCAGGCACCTATGCCACTGAGCTAAATCCCTGGCCTTTCTGATTACTTATTGCAATGTGTCATGGAGTCAGTCAGAGAAAGATCTTGGGTTATGGCCTACAGTGACACCTTGGTTCACAAACTCAATTCATTTCAATACTGTGAGTGAAAACAGAATCGATCATGAACAAAATCAAATTTCCCCATAAGGTTCAATGCAAATAATGTTAATCCATTCTTAGCCAATACATTTTTTAACTAAAAAATTGAAACAAAGGACAGTACAGTACAGTTGAAGAGGAGGCATGCCAGTCTTGCTTGAGAACAGAAATGTGGGTGAGGAGGAGAATCTCCCTTCATAAGGACGTCTGGAGGATCTCCAGAATTTCCTCTATCTCTTAGCAGCTGTGTCAAAATTCTGTTCAGTATCACTTGTTTTTTCCTGCACTATGGTACCCTCTTGAAATGAGAGAATACATTAGCATACATTAGATCCAACACTCTGTTACAGTTATGTTGAGGTGGTGCTACGTAAAGAAAGCCTGGCACTCATTCTATTTTTGCAGAATGGATATTTTCATATTTATTTTACCCTCCTCCTTGTCTCCCACTTCCTCAGGGGAATGGTGTTTGAAAAGCAGCTTCTGTACTTCTCACTCTGGCATTCAGCAAATTCTTAGGTTGTCAGCTCAGCCTTATGGCCATCAACATGCTCCTCTATACCTGTATCTTTGAAATCCAGACCCGCACTTTTGTCCATGGACACAATCTCCTTCACTACCTGTCCATCAGGCCCTTCAGAGTCACATCCTTTTGGTATACAATGTGACATTTTCTCACATTTTGTCAATGATGTTGATTTAAAAGATGACTGTTATGGGTTGAAAACAGGTGGTCAACTTAACGCCAACCAGATTATATCACCATGCTGCTGAGTGCAGATGTTCCACCTGAGGAAAGTTGTCAGCATAAATAGAGACATGGAGAAGGAGAAGCTAGGCTTTGAGGCATTAAGTTGCATTATGGGTTCTCCTATGTGTTGCTGTTTGAGCCATTAGGCTTTCCTGGAGAAGCTCTGGTCCTCACATTGAGCATTGCTTTCTGGCTCCGGAAGGGAAGACATGTGCCACTTGGTATTCAGGATGAATTCATCACACTGGCTTCCTGGCATGTACTCAATTGTGCTTGTAGTCAGAGGAGCTCGGGGCCTCCATGGCACTGAGGAAGGCTGTGATGCTTTGCAGGACAGCCCTGGTTTTTGTTGTATGACTTCTCAGCTCCAGTGTAGAACCCTCATCCCACCAGCACAGCTCCTTCACCCAGCTGGCATAGACTTCCTAGCTACCACCCCTAAACTAACCGTTGGGTCTTCCCATCATGAATCTGTAAAAGAGACTGGACTGAGTCCTTGTGGGATCTATACCTCCAATTGGACTCGTGGGAGGCACTGTCATGAGCACTGGGTTTTCATCAGGACTCACGTGAGACATTTCTGTGAGATTCAAGCCTAGGGCTAAATATTCCATGTCTTTATTGTGGATAGATTTCTTGTGTTAACTCTGTGTGACCATCAAAAATAATATTATAAACTCCATGTCCTGATTGTTCTGTGTACAACCCCTGACTACAACAATGACAATGAAATGTTTCTTCTAAAACTCTTTAGAGTCAAAATGTTTCTTCAATGACATTAAAATTCCTAGTGAAGAGCCCATTTGTCTACAGCTTCCTGAAGTTGCAGATCACTTGATGTTCCATGGACTACAGAAGAGATATTGTGTTTGGGGTGAGGGACTTGACCTTTGTGACATCATATTCAGCATTCATGTCATCCACCAAGGCTGGAGAGTAGGCCAAGGCATTGCCCATCAGAAGAAGGTACTCTCAGGCACCAGGTTGCCAAAAAAATATTTCTTAATGATGGGTACAAAGACCTCCTGCAGTCATTCCATGAACAATTACCTTGGGACTCAAATTTTCATACTGGCCATCCCCATGACATGCAGTCTGGCCATGCTTGCATTCTGGCCCTTCAATGCATGAAGGTTCTGGGAACAGTGCACCCATACTGATTTAATGTCCAGACTGGCACTTGCTGTCACTCACATCATGAGAGTCAATCTGCCTTTCATGACTTTATTCCCCAGCAGTGCCTTTTTCTCCTGCATGACAGGTTCTCTTTAGTATCCTCTTTCAGAAGAGCCCTATTTCATCACAGTAGATCACTTGTTGAGCAATGTATTCCTCTGCCTCAGGAGTTTCATGAATTCTTTCTTGTAGGCTTCTGCAGCTACCTTGTCAGGCCTGGGTGCCTCATCATGTCTTATGACATGTTAGAGGCAACTGAGTTTGACAGAAATATTATAGGCAGTCTAACAGGGCTAGGTCTTCCAAGGAACCAGGGCAGAAGGTCAAATAACTTGCAACTGTGGGCCAGACAGACACCTCCTGCTGTGGGTCAGACAAAAGATCAAACAAAAGACAAAAGATCAAACAAATGCACCCACATCCTAAGAACAGATGTTATAAATAGTTCTCTGTCACCCTGAGGAATTCTGCAGTTACCATCCTAACTCCTATTTGAAGTCAAGCTGTGTGCATGCCTGCTTGCTACATGACTCACTTTCCCATTTGTTCCTGATTTAATCAGTTTTTCCTGAGCAATTAATCTTCTTGGTTGTCCATAGTTCTGTCCCAACTTACACCTACCTTGCAAGTTGCCATGTTTTCTGCACCTTGGATGGTCTCACCTTGTGGTTTTCCTCTATAAAATTCCCTACAAAAGACAGAGTCTTTGGTTAAACACTTGGGACCCCTTCTATTTCTCTCCCAGACAGAAGCTTTCTCTTTCTCAAAAACTATGTTCTACTCTTAACCTCTATTGTTCCTAAATTTCATTCTTCAAATTTAGAGAATTGCCACTCATATTGGTCATCTAGTAGGTTGGGAGTTTCACTTCCCTATATGAACATGGTGGAAACCACTTTTCAGAATTTATAAAAATACCATCTACTGACTTTAAATTCATTAACTGTTGCACTGGTAGGGGAGTTTTCTATACACTATGTTTTGTCTAATCACTGTGAAGTTCCCTGGCTTTTTCACAGATCATAACTTCATTGAAGTTATTGCCTGCCAGCTGTTTCTCATTCAACCACACTAGCAAAAGTTTCTCTACTTCTTCCAGCACTTGTGTTTTCTGTTTAGCTAACGTTGTTCCTCATTTTAGTACATCAATTCCCATGATGGTGTCTTTATTATTCAAAATAATTAAGATTGTTGAAAGAGTATTGTCCTAGAATAAATTACAGGACACTATGGTGGTAGTCCAACATGGACGGTGGAAGGCCAAATCAGGGATTCTTCCCGGACAGCCACTTCCTCCTTCTAGCCCAATTATAACTTCCTCCTTCCTTTCTCATTGTGCATGAAAAAAAATTCCAATCAGCTCCTCATGCATTATCAGTGCTTGCCCCAAGCACCACATCTGCTCAAAGGTCACATATACTCCACAACCCCATATCTGGTCAGAGGAGAAAGCCAAACCGTTGCTGGTTGTGGGACCCTCTCCATGTCCTCTAAATAAAAAGGCCACTTTTACAGTTTCTTATATTCTCCTTCTTCAATTTGCCAGAAAACTGTAACAATTGCCAGCTTTATATCTTCTATTCCAAAGCCAGATCAGTCAGATAAATACCATGCTTATGCTTTTCCATAATTTTCTTCTTTGTTTCAATAGTTACTTTCTTCAAGCATTTTTCTTATCATTTTGGCTGTATACTTCCTTGTGAACTTTCATCCCTGCTCTGTACATTCTTTTTACCACCTTGCTTGTTCTGCACTTTCTTTGGAGTCAAGCTGGATTGAAAAGTACTGTACAGTACTGCATATGCTAAAAGTCACAAAAAGAAGCTTCACAGGAAGTGTATAGAAGTTTGTTTTGACCATGGTATTGGCTAGAGGAGGCCGCTATCCTGTATCAGATGGCCACGTTTGAGTTCATGCAGGGAAGGTGGTCGCGGTCATGTCTGTCACTTTGTGTGAAGTTGAAGAACTGAAGCAAAACTGCCAAATGCTTCTGTTCTCAAATCAAATTGTTCAAGAATGCAAGGGTAAATCGAGGTATTACGGTACAAAGAAACGAGCTCAGTTATGGCACTACATTGCTCGACATGAATCCTATAACAAAGAGCACTTCAGATTTTCACTGTCCATCCTTCTTTTTTGAAATATGAGCAATTACAGTAACTAATTTTTAATGAGCTTTAAAATTTAATGCACATAAATGGTCATATTTGTGGGCAATTGATCCTAGGACCCTCCACAAACAACAGAATCTATGGAAACTCACTTCTCTTTTATAAAACCATGCAACGTTTGCATATAAATTATGTATATTCTCTTGGATATGTCAAAATTTTCTCTAGATTATTTAAAATAAATGCAAAGTATAGTCTTTTATAGTTATTAACTATATTATTTTAAATCTTAAAAAGGAAAAATATATAAATTCAGTACAAATACAAATATTTTGTTTTAATATTTCTGTGCATTGTAGGTATTTCTTTCTCCTTTTTTTAATACTGGGAATTGGACAGAAAGTCTCACTCTAAGCCTGCTTAGATCTATGGATACATAACTCATATGTAATGAAAAGCAACACACAACACATAGAACACTTTCAGGATTATTTTAAGTATTCAGTAAATTTTAGTTGCTTCTGCTGTTATTTATCTTAACGAATATAAATCTCTACAATATATATATTCATGAAATATTCACTAAGAATAAGGCATTAATATCTCTCTAAATTAATGAGAACATGCTGATGAATAAACTGAGTTTATTACATTCAGTGAGAAGCTTCATTTTCTGATAGTGTTTTCTGATTTTCTTGTCCCATACCAGTTAAAATAAGAGTAAAAGGAACTAGGAACTTGGGTCTTTGTTGACCACTCTCAATGAACAATAATGCATGACAAGTGGAGAGCTCAGAGTGCCTCAAAGTCATCAGCAACTGAATCTTGTTAGGGCAGTAATGGTGAACGATGCAGAAGACTCTGTCCTCCAAGGTTTGCAAAGTTGCATACAGTTAGAGGGAGGTTGGTAGTCAAGGTCAAGTTATGAGATCATCCAAAAATTGGATAGGTATGAAAAATACAAAAAATCAAGTGCAAAGGGATCCTGTAAGTGTGAGTTAATGACAGCAATTAACTATAAACTACTTAAACACAAAAAGCCCCCAAGGAATTTGGGTGTACGTTTTGAGAAATGAGTGTAAAATACATATATGAAGACAAGGAAGTGCTTCACGTATGATTTCATACATCCATGACAGCATAAATCAAAGTGCAGAAGTTAAGCAAAACCAAATAGCAGATCCACAATGCCAGAAATCAAGTGAAATGTCTTGAACATCTTGCACAAAGAGTAGGCAGGGATGAGTTTAAAAAATCAGACTGGTGCAAGCAGGCAGTCGCAAGTTCGATCCCTGGTACCAATAAAAAAGAAAAAGACAAAAAAAAAAAAAAATCAGACTGGACTTATGCACTGAAGTCTTGTATCTTGTGCTAAGAATCACAGTAGACCAAAAACTATGAGAATTACTGTAAAAAAAATTCTCTTACCAGTTTTCTCTTAAAGTAACTATGAGCTCTTGATTCAAAGGGATGGGAAGAGTTGAAGATATAGAATAATATTTTTGTCTGTCTCCTAGGAGATGCCATAACAGACAGTGAACAGAAATAGTATCATAGCTAAAACATCACAGTGTGCGCACACGCACAGAATCACATCAGGCTGATTAGCCATACAGTGGTATCTTTAACAATGGCCAAGAAACACAGGGAATTGGTTAATTAGAATACATTTCACAGGATATTCAGGGTTTCCGGTTGCACATTTGCATCTTTGAAAGGTATAATTATGTCAGATAATATACTGGGTGCTGGAGTTTTTACATAAACACTTGTGGTCTAATTCAGAGTTATCTCTACTGCATGGAGCAGTTGTTGGGAGAAAAATATATATGCTATTAAAAGCAGTTTGAATTAGGTGTGTTCTACTGGCATAAAATGCACAATGCCTAGTCATTTATCAAGCAGTGCAGTGAGTTACTGTTTATTTATTATGCAAAACGTGTGCCTGGATAAGGTGAACAAATTAAGTGGCCTGTAAAAGAGTATGCTACCAATGCAGCGAGAAGCTTCCCAGCAAATTACTTTAAATACACATGGTAATTCCAGATAAATTCTGTATTAAAGGACCCCAAATGAGATACGAAGATTGAAGGCCATTACCAGAAAAGAAGCTGTAGGAATGGCTTCTCTTTAGTCACAATGGTATGCTAATTTCACTTTGCAACAGTAAACACAATGTCCCTGGTCTCACTGAGTGGTCGTCAGTGTACAGTGGGTTGTTCCTGACCTATGATTAAGATTCAATTAAGAAAGCAGAGACAAAAGAACTCTTTTGAAATAAGGACTTAATATCATAGGACAGATTTTTACAACAGTGGTGAAACCTATAAAAGTAAAATTAGGAAAAGGATTAAAATGCCCTTGCCAGTCCTGGCAAGGGTGAAGGAGGCACATGTAGCCATATGTTATGACAGCAACAGGCAGTCCTAGGACCAATGAGTGACCGCTGCTCTTCATAATTCTCTCTGTGAGCTCACAGCTGCCGCTAGTAGGGGCCTGGGGTTGCTGATGATTATCAAGACTTAATCAGGTTGGAAGCTTGATTTGAAACAAAAAAATCTTGGATATCTGTCACTTCCCTTTTCTGACCAACCACAACCTTCAGATTTAATTTTTAAAATCCACATATTATTTTTCAAACAGATTTAGATTTATAGAAAAGATGTACAAAGTTATCGTGTATTCTTTTTCCTGACCATTACTAATTGTTCACACTATTGTTATCACATTGATTAATACAATTTTATAGCTGCACCTGATGAAAGAATGCTTCTCATTTGAATGGTAAAAGTCTATCACTTACAATAGTGATCATTCCTTATACAGTCCAATAGATTTGACAAATGTACAAATGATACAGTGTCATATAAAACACTGTCAGTGTGTTAAAATTTCCAATTCCTATCTAGTGGGCACTTTCTTCTTAACTTTCCTGACAACAGTGGTTTTGTTTGTTTGCTAATTTTTTCTCTCACTCTCTCTGTATGGTTTTGCTTTTTTTTTTTTTCCAAAATGTCAAATATTTGGATGGAATCACACAAACTTTGAACCTGGCTACTTTTATTTAGCAATTTTAATTTAAACTTTGTCTACTTGTTTTCATGACTTGATAACTAATATCGCTGGATAATACATCACTATGAATATACCACAATTGTTCAACTGTGGGAGGTCATTTTAGTCTCTCCCTACTACTAACAATTTAAAATAACATATCCAGATTTTGACAGCTATTATCTAATTCCTACCAACAAAATCCCACACATATGACATAAGATAGAAAATACTATGATATTTAAATTAAAAAGCCAATTACATTGAAAGACACATTACCATTGACTGCCTTAGACATATGCCTCTCTGTTTGAATACATGTCTTTCATTTGCTTTGCCACTAGCTCTGGAAACCCTCTTTCGTGAATACTGTTGTGGCTGCCTCTATGTCTGGAATCAATTCAAAACATTTACTTTTCATGATAATTTTGACTTTAGAGAAGAATCAAAAGTTTCATGGTGTTAGTAAATAAAGTGGATGACAACATGTAATATTTTTAAGGACATGTCTTTCTTTTGATTG